CAGCCCTTTGAATCTGGCGCGGTCCTCCTAAGTATCGTGGAGGGACCGCGTCAGAGAAAGGGGCGGGGCTGAGCGCCGTGAACCCGGAAGTGGGTTCCGGCGATAATTACATGCCATGCTATACCTGACAGTACCCCCTTCCCATGGGGCATCCTCTGGGTGCACTATTTCGGTTTGGAGGGATAGCGTTTGTGAAAGGCAGTAACTAACCTCCCAGCATGTACATTAGATGAATCTTCCCAAGTGTCTTCATCAACTCCATAACCTTTCCATCTGATAAGGTATTGTAAGGAGCCACGGTTGACACGAGAATCCAAAATTTTGTGAATTTCATATTCTTCTTCACCTTGGACAATGATAGGTTCAGGAGTTGTTACTATTTCCCTATAAAAAGGATCAGGGATGTGTGGTTTAAGTATGGAGACATGGAATACTGGATGAAGTTTAAAACTTGGAGGAAGTTTTAGTTTAACAACGTTATCATTAATGATAGTAATTACTTGAAAGGGACCAAGAAAAAGAGAGCTCAATTTCTTTGAAGGACGGCTTGTGGTAATATTCCTTGAAGAGAGCCAGACAAGATCCCCTACCTTGTAAGGAGGGGGAATTCTTCTATTATTTTCAAAAAACTTTTTCTGGTTATTTTGGGCGAGTTGAAGATTCTCCCGTAATTTGAAAAATAGAGAAGACATAAATTCATTTTTTGATGTAACAGTAGGATTGGATGAAGTAATGGTTTGGATGGGGAATGAAGACGGATGAAAACCATAGTTGGAGAAGAAAGGAGTCATTTTTGTACTAGAATGAATGGTATTATTGTAAGAAAATTCGGCCATAGGTAACCATGTGGTCCAGTCATCTTGGAGGTATGAACAATAACATCGAAGATATTGTTCCAAACATTGATTAACCTTTCTGTTTGCCCATTAGTTTGGGGATGATAAGCGGAAGAGAGTTTGCGTTGAATTTGAAGGGAGAGACACATCTCTTTCCAGAATTTGGAGGTAAATTGTGTCCCCCTATCAGAAATAATTTCTTCAGGAAGACCATGAAGTTTCACAATATTGTCAATAAAGACCTTAGACAATTCTACAGAGGAGGGTAATTTTTTAAAGAAATGAAATGGGACATTTTTGTGAAGCGATCCACAACGACAAGAATAGTGGTGAAATGTTGAGAAGGTGGAAGATCAACGATAAAATCCATAGAAATGGATTGCCAAGGTTTTTCTGGAATAGGTAAGTTAAGTAGTAATCCAAAAGGTTGATTATGTTCTGGTTTAGACCTTTGACAGATAGGACATGTTTTGACATATAATGCAATGGTTCTATCCTGGCGAGGCCACCAATAATAACGTGAAGTTAGTTCAAGTGTTTTCTTTATTCCAGGATGTCCAGCTAGGGGGGAATCATGAACCATCTTAAGTAATTTATTCCTAAGAATGGGAGGAATATAAATTCTATTTTTAAAATAAAATAGACCATCCTTTTTGTTAGTATAGGTGTTTTGGGAAGTTCAAGATCCTTCTGATTCAAATTCTTTATGTCATCATGAAGAGAAGAGAGGATTCCTATTATTTTGGTAGAAGGATAATCATCAGTAGTAGTTTTAGAAGGAATTCGAGAAAGAGCGTCAGCCTTTTTATTTCTATTTCCAGGTCTGTATATTAATTGGAAGTTAAATCGGTTAAAGAATAGGTTCCACCTAACTTGTCTAGCTGTAAGGGTTTTGTTAGTATAGAGATATTCAAGATTTTTATGGTCAGTATAAACTATTATAGGTTGTTTTGTATCTTCCAGAAGATGACGCCAATTTTCGAAGGCAGCTTTAACACTTAATAATTCCTTTTCACCAATAGGATAATTTTTTTCAGCAGAGCTCAAGGATCTTGAAAAAAAGGCAACTGGATGAAGTGGATCTTGTGGAGTCTTTTGTTGAGAAAGAACTGCTCCGATGGCTGCATCTGATGCATCAACTTCAAGAACATATAGGAATGCTGGATTAGGTAGTTGTAGAATAGGTGCAGTTGTAAATCTTTTTTTTAATTCGTCGAAGGCTGTTTGAGCATCTTTATTCCAATTAAAAGGACGTTTACTACTGTTGAGGAGGTTAAGAGGATGTGATACATCCGAATAGTTTCTAATAAATTTTCTATAGAAGTTTGCAAATCCAAGAAAACGTTGTAATTCTTTTGTAGTAGTAGGAGCAGGCCAATCAATAATACATTTGATTTTTGAATTATCCATCTTCAAAGAATGAGGTGAAATAATGTATCCTAGAAAAGAGAATTCAGTAACCTCAAAAAGGCATTTTTCTGGTTTAGCGTATAATTTATGAGTTCTCAGTCTAGATAGAACCCATCTAACATGTTTCCTATGTTCATTCAAATTGTTAGAATATATTAAGATATCATCTAAGTAGATAATAACACATACATCCAGAAGATCTCTAAAGATATCATTGATAAAATGTTGAAACGTTGCAGGGGCATTACAGAGCCCGAAAGGCATCACTAGATATTCGTAGAGACCATATCTTGTCCGGAAGGCGGTTTTCCATTCATCATCCTGTTTTATTCTAATGAGGTTATATGCGCCTCGAAGGTCGAGCTTAGTGAATATAGTTGCAGTTCTTAACCTTTCAATTAATTCATTTATTAGTGGAAGAGGATAACGATTTTTAATAGTTATTTTATTTAAGGCTCTGTAATCTATAATAGGACGGATGGTTTGGTCCTTATTCTTCACAAAGAAAATACTAGAAGCAGCAGGAGAGGTCGAGGGTCTGATGAACCCTTTGCGTAAATTTTCATTAAGATATTCTTTTAAAATTTCTAACTCCTTTTCAGAGAGTGGATAAATATGACCATAAGTAATAGGAGCTCCGGGTATGAGATCTATTGGGCAATCATATAGCCGATGAGGAGGAAGTGTTTCCGCTTCTTTTTTACAAAAGACATCTGCAAAATCGGAGTAGAATGGAGGTATAACTGGTTCT